ACATACATTTCTTTACTGTGTCTGACAGATTTACACACACACACACACACTAAAAGAGATGCCATTCGGTCACTTAGTGAATACTGCGTGTCACTAAAACATGTCTGCTGTCGATATAACAGCCGCTTTTAATTGCACACGGAATTGTCAACATCAACATCTGTTTGTGCTAGATGATCTGTCTGCACAGATTCATTCTGAAACACAGCAAAACAGGTGTATTAGTGTTTGCCGCATCACTGCAGATCCTGGAGCTCATTAAACAGATATTCATATGGATGGCATTGATGGAAGCATGGTCATTTCTCTGTGAAATTCTGTATGTTTTTCACACTGAAAAACTGTATAGTCTTGGTAATTCTTCGCCTACTTCTCTCTTGGCTGCAAACAATGGCCTTAGGAGTCCACCTAGCTGCATAAAACACATTTTTCTGCATCACTGCAGTAGGTATTCTTCACGTCCCCTTTCACCCCTCGCTTCCTCCTCTCCATACCTTGAGGAGACGACGGGAAAAGAGCTGGCAGCCGAAGCTGGTTGCTCAGCCCTCGAGGGAAGAGTTGGATTTCAGCCTCAGGGACTCGGGTCACTGGATAGAGTCTGGACTCAGTGTTTCTGCTCTCCTTCCTCATCCTCCCACTCTTTATGTCTACGTTTCCCCCTCCTCTGCCCCTCCTTTTTGCCCTAATGCCTTGCAGATGCCTCCAAACCATACCTAAAAATAAAGCCAGTAGCACTACCACTGGCATGTCCCATTGTAGTGTTAAATGTTAGCAAGTCTTTTACTGTTTGGCAGAAATAATCTTCTTGATTAAACTAGGGTAATCTTTATTCTGATTAGCTTGCTAGCATGGCTAATGTGTTCATTTATGTTTGCTTCTTGAGCTGTTTCAGTGGGCTAATGATTGGATGTCATGCAGGCATGTTGTTCTAAAGCCCTTTGTGAATGCTTACTGCCCACAACCACCCACGTGTGACACGACCAAACCTTTACTCTGACCTGCTCTCTCACACCGACAGTCAAAGCACATGCTATTGATCCAATCAGCAGTCACTCTACTTGTCAGGATTAACAAAGGGCTTCAACATCTGTGTCTTCTGGGACCGTATGTGATCATTTATCAAGAACAATTAACCCCAGAGAATTAAACAGCTCCAGTTTACTTTAAAGTGATTGTGTTGACATCTAGAGTTGGAGCAGAACCTGCTCACACCCCTGCCTTTTTCTTGATTGGGACTTGTTTGGACTAGTTTATAGAGCTCGGAGGTCGTATTTGCCTTTCAAACCATGCACAGCATGTGTAGCTTAACAGGCTCCCTGGGAGTGTGCAAAGTACTTTTCATGCTGCTGCTGTTCTCCACCAAACAAAACTCATTCATTGGCCCCTGTCCTTACCTCCTTGATAAGTTACAACCAGCCATTTCCAGGTCCCACACTTACACCTATTGTGTTGTCACCCTGCGTAGATCATTCACCGTTAGCTTGTTCAATTAACCCAGCTGGATTGCAGCATGCATATCAAAACTACCTCTGCAGTTTGGCTGATGGACGGGCCATCCTTTTACACATTTGGTCACTTTTTTTCTTATTGGTTACCTGTCATGTATATACTTTGTGTAAGCTTGTTTCTTAATTCGAACCAGATGTGAACCATTTCTTTAAATAGAGTGAAAATGTATTTCTGTGTCAGGACTTGGGGTTTATTAAGCTGCCCAGTGCAGAGCTGGTTTTTAAGGTTCTTAAGGCTATTGCTACTGGCCTCTTGACCCTGCTGACCTGAATTCCTGCTTCCCAGTTAAGTCCTACAAACAGTGCTCCAGTACAACTGTATGCTCGTATTTAATGTTGGCAAATGAATAACCCGGAATAGAGGAAATGAACAGGAGTTTTCCTTTCCGTGCAAGCTTCAATGTTTGAGGAATGTTCCAAAATTAGGCCTCCAATTCCCAAAATAACTATTCCTCTTATTACATGAAAGCAATACTTACTTTGGAATGAAATGTAGTACCTAATTTTAGCATACCTAAATCATGACGATGCGTTTGATTGAGCTAGCAAAAGATCGAGGGTGGGTAAGAGAAGAGTACTGGGCACATGGAAATGTGAACACAGCTATTAACATTCCCTGAAAATGTAAAACATTCCCGACGCCGAAGAGAGGATATATCGGCATATTTAATGCCAGTGCTGCAAGCGTAGAGGGAAAAAGGGCAAACATCCTGGCAATACCCAGCCGACTCTGAGACTTCGTCTGTCCATGGAATTCTTTCCACTAAGACACTCTGCAGCATTTTGCCATTCACTTAAATCTATTATACCCAAGTTCCCATCAGCAAAAACACGTCTGTTTGCTATCCTGGCTCCAAAATGGTGGAATGAGCTCCCCATTGACATCAGGACAGCAGAAAGCTTACACATCTTCCGGGGTAGACTGAAAACTCATCTCTTTCGACTCCACTTCGAGCGATAGAATGACTAACAAAGCACTTATATACTAATAAAGGACTGGCTTATCTAAAGCCAGTTGAGTAGCACTTGAAATGTTTTGGCTCTATGAAACCTGATGTACTTATATGATTCTGTTTTCTTCAAGTTTGTATCTTCTTGGTCGAGTGCACTTATTGTAAGTCGCTCTGGATAAAAGCGTCAGCTAAATGCAATGTAATGTAATATTAACCGTCGTGTGTGGCTTGAGATTGCTGGGATGAGGGTAGGGGGGTCAAGTCCCGCTCTCTCTGTGCCCCACTTTGGTGACAATGAAGCACACAGTGATGGTGGTGGAGATGTCGGTATAAAGGCTTTATTCATCTGCTGTGGCTGGTCACAAAGAGGCAGATACATCAGATCACAGGATTCTGGATGAAGGGATGGAGGAAGAGCGAGTCAGGAAAAGCATAGTGACACTCGAGAATTTCGAGCTGGTGTATTTGAAATGAGACATGGCCTTGATACTCATGCATGTGTCATGACTGCCCTTCTATTTTTTCCTTACTCGTGTATCTGTGTGTATTCGTGTACACGGGCCGAGTTCTTAGAGTCATAGCGAGAGCCAAGAGGAGGTTTTCATTAACCTCCAGCAGAGAGAGGGCGCCATCTTGACTTGCTGCCCTCCTGGTACTGTATTATAATGTTCTGGGCCTATTTGCTCTGCATCATGCCTGACCAGATGAGAACTCCCTTATTAGTGAAATGGGCTGCTTTACAGGTGCTTGCCGGGTCAACTGTTCCAACCAGCGACGCGTTTAGCTGGGTAGTTGATGGTGAACATTGAAGGAACATCCACGATTAATCCGTTTGGAGACCATTTAAGTACAATAATGCAATGATAATATAGTAGCACAAAAATGCCGGTTCACCCTTTGAAAGAGTATAAGAATGATTCCATTATGTTTAGAAATTGGAATTTGATTGTTAAAAACATATTTAAATCCCATAAATAAACCATATACAATTAGGCCACATGTATGAGTCATTGCTTTGTTATCAGCTTTAATTTCATTCTAAATACATTATTGCTTAGATTTTTGTTTTTATTTAATTGTATTACTTATTTGTTTTATCTAACATTTTTTATTTAAGTTTGATCTTTTTTCTGGTTTCCTATGTTTTGATGTACCTATGCTAAATGTACAAATATGAGTTTATATTCTGAAAGTGCATCTCTTTAATGAAATTAGCTGATAAATAAAAAGGAAAATAAAATAAGACCACACAACCATAACCATCAAAATGGACTCTCAGGTGCTCTTTTTTAGACATTGCTATCATTTGTCGGGGTATAGAGAGACAATCACTCGTTAATGGGAATTTACTGCAAATCCAGATTAGTTATGGTTACGAATACTGTTAAGGAAAATATCTTTGTATTTGCTAAAATAATTGACATAATGACATCAACACTTTTAAAGCTTAAACCTAAAAGGTTCCCTTCTTGGTTTTAGGTAAACGCTAACTGGCTTAACATCTTCACCATTATGCGTACATACACCTATCACTGCCACACATCCCTCTGTTATCCTGGATGTACCGGTAGACCCCAGCTGCAGGGCTGGAACTCCTCTTGAAATGAGTCATGTTCCTATTAGTCATCCACAGAACACTTCACCTTCCAGCTCTTATGTTCTGTCTGGGGGTTGATATCACTGCCTATATGGTGGTTATTATAAACGACTGCAGATAAGTGGCATTGGGCTTTTCACTGCAGCATCATGCTTTCGTTTTTTGTCTGATTTTCAACCGTACTGCAGAACCATGACGTGGCAAGAGTTGAGGTTAGATGAGGGTTTCTGATTATTCCTGAGCAGCACAGGAGAAAAGGACAGGAAGAGTCAGGGAGGAAAGGAAAGGGAGGGATAATAAGGAGTGACGATGGACACAATGTCAGGTTTGCGTTTCTATAAATAGCTCACTGTCTCTACCTGATCTCTCCTTCGCGATCTTTTTTAACTCAATTGTCATGCTGCCAGAGTCCAGAAAGTCACTGTTAACAAGAGGCTGAGGCAGACTTCAGTAAACCTCACACACAATGCTGCCCCCCCCCCCCCCCCCCCATCTATAGTTTAACCTTGTAGCATAATCCCATTAAAATCCATTAAGCAATGCATCTTAAACTGATCCTCCTTCTTCCAAATGTGGGGAGAAGTCGCCTTCTCTGACAGGGTGAGGGAGGGAGGGAGTATAGGAAGAGGATGGTGGTGCCGCTGCCGAGTCACATGACCAATTTGTGTCTGTTGCGGGGAGCACGGGCAGCTGGCCAAAGTCATTCCTCCCTCTCCCTCCATCCTTCACTCTCCGCCTCTCTCCCTCAAACACATGCGTTTGTTAGCGGGCTAAAGCCGATTGCATGAATGTGTTTTTTTCTTCTTCGCGAGTGCAGTTGCCAGCTTCTGCCGTTTCAGGACTGTCAGAATCCACATGCGTTGAACGCACGCTTTTTTTGTTGTTGCTTGACCGGCATCTGCTGTCACTAACTATGTCCCTCTTGTGTTGCTTCTCCTTCAGGGACTATGGCTCCAAGCGCAAGTCAGGTAAGTCACCTGTTTTTCCTTCTCTATCCATTCCAAAAGATCATTCTCTCTTTCAACTTGTTGCTCCTAATAGAGCCTCTCCTTGAGATCTGAGAGGGTTGTGATTCTGCATGACGTATGACTCTCTCTGCGTCTTGTCTGTTATCCATGTGATGCCAGTGTGTGGTGTGTTTACTTGTCCCGCTGCAGGACGCTGACTTGCTGTCGGCTGTGTTTTGGGGTGGGTTCAAAGAGCTGTCAATCCCCCTCCTTCTGGCTGTAGATTTGCAATCCAGGGTGGGGTTTCAGAACTGCCTGGGGATGTCAAAATATAGTTATTTTTGTTAAGAGAGACCATATTTAGGTGGCAGTTTGGACATTTGACAGATTGTTTACCACTTCAGCTGAAGTCCTAATCTGACCAATGTTTAGTATTCCTAATAATTCAATAAGAACACATGATTGAAACAGGGATACTTTTGAAGGTATGTGCCTGTAAGGGGCTTTGGACTTATCCTGATCTGTGTGGTCTAAGTCCCTGGGTCTTAGGAGGTAAACAAAGCTGAAATACTTCCATTTGGTGCCACAATTGCAATTCAGTAGAATAAAAAGTAAAAACATCCAACCATGAACATGGTCACCAACATGTTCAACTGTTTCCAACATGCGAATCAGCAGAACTCGCCACTATATTGATTTTCATCAACTCATTAGCCATCTTAGCACATGTATGGCTCTTAGAGGGTATTAGCTACAGAATAGCTGCTTAACAAAGGCAACATGTGAGCCACTAACATATGCATCTTGGAACCCTGTGTGCTTATGGCCTGGTAGTAAATATCAGTCATACATATTATGAATTATTGAAGAGAAAATAGAGGAAATAGCTTGTGGTTGAATGGAAAATATGATCATCTTGCTACCTATGCCCTACAATATTGTCTTGATATTATAATAGCTTTAAGGTTGTTTATTGGAATGAAAATATCTTGAAATAGCTTTTGATTAAGTGTAGGGGTACAGCGATGCAAAATGTAATAGAGTGGTGCAGTGACGAGTCCTAAAACCCGGAAGTGAGTTAGCATTTTACCACTACCGGTTCCCTCGTCTCAGAGCCAATGGGATTTCTCCATAGGAGTTTGGAAAATAGCTCGAAATAAGGTCTGTGGTTGACACAAATTTAAGAGACGGATCACGTTTTGTTCTACGACATTAAATACATCAGCAGTGACCCCACTGGTGATTTTTGAAGAGTTTACGTGTCTGACAAACGATGGTTGTTAACAAGTGGCTGAATAGGACTACAGAAGTTGTCGAGGACGTTGTACGTCATTACACCGAACACGTAAACACTCCCGCTAAGTTTGTTTGCCCCTGTTCTGCTTGAAAGCAAGTACCTGCCTCCTGCAAACTGTTAAAACAAAAGCTTCAACTTGTACAATTTTGAATCTGTATTTTTGAATATCGATCTTAAGTTGGCGTGACGTTGAAGCAGCGACCCTGCTATAGTTCGTTTATATCATAACGTTAGCATTTTGCTTCTGGCGATTCGATTTATGATTAGAAAATTATAAAAGTAGGGTAGACATGTGGATATTATCCGGCTGAACAAAACGTGCATTTATCAAACAGGTTCGTTTTCCATAGACCTTATTTCGAGATATTTTCCAAAACCCTATGGAGAAATCCCATTGCTTTTTTGTCGAGGGAACCCATGCGCAGCTTATTTCCGGCTAAATATGTCATCCCTGCACCACTCTGTTCATATGTTTTGGCCCCTTTTTAACCTTAACACTACATTAAAGCAAATTCCTTGTAAGTGTAAACATACATAGCAATGAACCAGTTTCTGGTTTCTGATTCTGAATGTTTTGGGGTTTTCAATAGGTGAGTTTATTTTGGGAAAAAAGTAAATATGCGCCCCAACCGTACGGTGGTACAACGAGCGGATACAGATTTGCTGCCGATATGACTTAATTTTGGAAGGCGGACCCACAGAAAGTTGCTATCAGAAACAATGCCTGAAGTGTTTTGGACGTAATCTCGTCTTTGTTTACATTAGCAAGCCTCGCTAACACTCAGAGCTAACCTGTACTGGAGAGCACATGTATTTAAAAAGCAGGAAATAAAAAAAGGAACTCACGTTGTGGTAAACCCGCAAGAGAAAAAGCATTTGAGCTCCATACTGTTTCAAAAATAATCCTTAATGTGGTTTAGAACAGGATGGCGTTTTATCACAGCAGAATTTAACTTTATCTCCGGTAGAATTCTGATCAGGCATTAGCTCCGCCTCCTCCTCTCTTTTTTTTTTTTAAAGCTAAGGACACAAAATCCGCATTTCTCTAACAGGGCTGCAAAAGAGGGGTATGAGCAGTATGAGGCATGCAGTGGCGACTGGTCATTAGGGGCAGCCCCACCTAGTGTCAGCAGAAAGTATTAAAATAATAATTACAAAAAAATGCTAAAAAGATACATCTTAAAATATATTTTACGATCATGTTTAATCATCTGATTTGTCTGTAAATTGCTGTTTTAGTTTGTGTTCTTCTCGTTAGTGTCTACAGTGTGTGCCTATTGAGCCGTGCTCAGTCTTTTTCTATACAATGTGTGCAGCAAAAAAATAATCACCATAGGGGCACTGTGCTGACATACCCACCAAACGTCATCTCACATCCCACATCTGTGGGAAACGTACCTGTTAGATAAATGCACGTTTTGTTCAGCCGGATAATATCCACATGTCTACCCTACTTTTATCATTTCGAATCGTAAATCTATCGATCATAAATCTATCGCTTAGATTTATGATTCGACTTTTGAAACTACAAGAAGATAAGGAGGACTTTTACAAAAAAGTAATATAGATTTTTGTCCAGAAGGATAGGCAAATGGACTTAATCTTCAAATCAAGGTAAGACCACAATTTGATTGAAAATGGGATCTTACTAAGAGAGAACAATCCAATATTTAAAGGATAAAATTATATTTTTTGGGTATCCTTTTGTTGAACTGTCTGTTTAAAATTAATAGAAGCATCAGACTAAAAAAGCTTTTGAAAATAATAGAATATTTTGATTTAGGTCAAAATATATTATTTGTAAACCTGAAGAGTCAGTGCCAGTGCCTCACCAGCCATGAACCTCACTGCACGTCACTGCAGAAGCTTATATATAAACATCTACGTTTTTTGTGCCCCACCACTTTTGTACATATAAAAACGCCACTGCAGGCATATACAATGGGTGATCTGTTTGGTATTTTAAGCAAAAAACTTCACAGACATGTTTTGTATAGGTATGGCCCTACAATATATGTTTCCAATATAGCATAATAGGTCCACTTTAAGCCAGTTGGCGTGGCAACAGGTTGTCTATTTTTAAACCTTTGAACAGTTACATAAAATCTACATTATTTCTATGGGTGGAAACTGTAGGAACATTTATATTGAGAGAAAAATGAAGTGCACCTATCTTGGTTTGATTCTTGTAAAGAGACTAAATTGGTGTTATTATCAACATTATTACAGAACAAATCTCCATAAACCGAATGTCATCTTTAGGTTTTATATATATGTATAAGTGTGACTGTTACATAAAGTAAATTAAACCATATATTTATCCTAAAGGAAAGATAAGTGTATGTATTTATGGTGTTTCTTTTGTGCTGTCATCCCTCAGATGCTTTTGAACGCTTCCTGCTGAAAGTGTTTAGTAACCATTACAACCCTTTCAGCTTCCGCTATTCACAGAGAACCCACTAGCTGTGGCAGCATCTGTTCATTTGTTTCTATATAATCATACCCATTAGCATCTTCTTTTTCTTTTCACTTGTCACTGTGGTTCATACTTTGGTTTCAAAAGGTCTATTTTAAGAAATGGTTCAACATATTGCTTATTTGCAGTGGGGAACAGATAACATGGTACTGTTTAAAGTGAAATAAAACATCCACCACCTCTAAAGCTGACAAATGTACGTTATCTTGTTCTAAAGGAAATTGTATTTCAATTTCTTTTTAAATATTTTTAAGGGGGAGTTAAGTGTTGTAACTTAACTTCAAAAAGCTTTGACGGTGCGCAGGTTCTTCAGTCTAGTCTTGTTGTCATGGTGAGGATGCCATGGTGTCTGTAAAAGACATTGCATAGAAGTACTTGGCGGATTGGTTAACTGCTGTGTGTCCCTTAATATAGCACGATTTGTCTATTAACACGTCTGTACAAATGTAACTAATTAGACACATCACATGAGCTTCAGAGGTGCTGGTAGGCATTATGTTAAGCTTTCGGCCCTGTGTCCACAAAGTGTCTTTTTTGTGTGTCTTTTTTCAATTGTTTCCAATGAGGAGTGACACGTACAGTAGCATTTCAAAGCTCTGCACATTTTTGTGTGGCCTCTTTTCTGAAAAAAGTAACCAGTCGCTACTGGTTACATTTTTCAGAAAAGCACCCATCACATCACTGTAAAAATGAGATGAAATGCTTGTTTTGGCCGTGTCTTTCAGATGGAAACTATCATAACAAAGCTCATTTGTTTGAGCAGATTAGTTGGGCAGACATGGGATGATGCTGCCTTGTTGTGTAGTGTTGTGGCTTTATTGCCTATGTGCATCGTCATCCTCGCTCTATGGCTTTCAGACTGAGCAGTGAAGCTCATTCATACCAAGTATGAGATCAAGCATCTTCCGGTTGGTGTTCATGGTGGAAAAACAATTTCAACTAATATATAGTAGCACAAAGTAAAGGCAATAGGAGGATGCTAGTCTGTTTTATAAAATCGGTGATACCTTGTCTTTATGCTAAGCTAGGCTAATCACCTCCAGACTCCAGCTTTATTCTAACTAGACGCACATTTTGTCTAAAGATCTGTCAGAGAGAAAGTGTACTTTGTTGAACTGTTTCTTTAAAAAGTGGTTTTATTATTCTGTCAGTTCGGCCAAGATGACTATTGCTGCTTTCAACATCGGCCCTGCTGTTTTTCTGTTAAATCCAAACACATTTAGTTGTTGCTGCTGGAAAAACGAATGC